TGACTCAAGAAACCAGTGTAATGAGATAGTTGTATGACATGAAATTTCGTCCCATCTAGCTGTGATTACTTGCGCCGGCCAGCATATTGGTGGACATGCGAAATCGCAGAGCTGAGGAAAAAATGTCACCAACTCCGACGACGAGCAACAAGAGCTGCTAAGCACTCCCCAGCTCAGACCTACTACTCCAATGAGTACAAGGCGGCCAAGAAGGAGCTCAACAGAGCCATCAAGTCCAGTAAAGGCAAGCTGTGGGCAGAAATTTGCAACGACCTCAATAACGATGTCTGGGGCAAAGCCTACCATATAGTCGCAAAAGGATTGGGTAGAACCTTACCAGAGCCGCCAAAAAGCCCGGCTATGATGAACCAGATTGTTACTGAGCTCTTCCCAAACCACCCAGCGCGGAAGAAGAGTCGCTACAAGAACACCACCAATGTGTTGCAGTTCACTGTTTCGGAACTGCAAACCGCAGCAAAAACCCTGAAACTAGGGAAAGCACCCGGCCCTGACGGTATTCCAACACAAGTGATTAAGCTCATTGCACAGGAATTTCCTAACATCCTGTTGAATGTTTACAATGCATGCCTTGTGACCGGAACGTTCCCTTCTGTCTGGAAACGACAAAGACTCGTCCTTCTCGACAAAGGAAAGGGACCTCCGATAACAGCTTCATCATACAGACCACTGTGTATGCTGGATATAACTGGGAAGCTGCTTGAAAAACTTATCAAAGCCAGACTTCGAAAAGATGTTGAATCCTCCGGAGGTTTCTCCTCAAGCCAGTACGGCTTCCGGAAAGGGCGATCAACCATCGATGCAATCAAAGAAGTTGTAGAAACCGCAACAAAGTCGTGGGCTGGCAGCCTAAAGTCTAGGAAAGTTTGTATACTTCTCACGTTGGACGTGAAGAATGCTTTCAACAGCGCATCGTGGAAGGATATACTGGAGGCGCTGGAGAAGAGATTCCGGGTGAAAGATGACATCTTGACAATGGTGGACAGCTACCTGGACGATCGAGTACTCATCGTTGAAACCACTGAGGGAACAGTGAGCCGCAAGATAACAGCTGGTGCACCACAGGGTTCGGTTATGGGACCTGATCTGTGGAACGCTGACTATGACGAGCTGTTCGAAATTCCCTTACCCCCGCAGGTGCATCTCACAGGGTTTGCGGATGATGTCGCAGCTACTATTGTGGCAGACAGCGTTGAAGAGGCCGAGGTACTGGTCGATTTCACCATCGAAGCCGTCGCGGCCTGGTTGGACCAGCACCATCTGAAGCTAGCCAAAGAGAAAACGGAGATGGTAGTCCTAACACGCCAAAAATGGTTCCCAGAACCGTTTAGTACAATCATCGACGGGCTAACACTGACGTCTACAAAGTCAGTCCGCTATTTGGGCGTTCAGTTAGATGCAAAGCTGACATTCCGTGAACACTTGGAACGCACGTGTACAAGGGCTAGCAAGACTGTGTCTAGTCTATCGAGAATCATGGCCAATACTATCGGCCCACGTGCCAAAAAGAGAAGAGCTCTCCTGGAGGTGGTTCACTCAGTTCTGCTTTACGGAGCGGAAATCTGGGCGCATACATTACAACAGAAGACGTATCGTAAGAAACTGGCAGCAGTGCAGCGGCGAGGAGCACTTAGAGTGGCTTGTGCCTATCGCACAGTTTCCGAAGACGCAGTGCTTGTTATAGCTGGAGCTCCGCCTATAGACCTTTTGGCGAATGAAAGGGCCAGGTTGTATAACCTCAAAAAAAGAGGCCTCAATGCCAGCGAAGCGAAGGCAATGGTGAGAAAGGACACCCTGAAGGAATGGAAAGTAAGGTGGCAGGCGTCTGATCGTGGTAGATGGACAGCACGCCTGATCCCTAATATCGAGGCCTGGCTCGACAGGAAGCATGGCGAAACAGACTTCTTTCTAACTCAGATGATGACGGGTCATGGCTCGTTCAATGCATATCTATTCAGGTTCGGTTTGCACACATCACCGACGTGCAAATACTGTCCGGAAAAAGCCGACGATGCTGAGCACACCTTTTTTAAGTGCACGCGCTGGAAGAACTTCAGGGCTGACACCGAATTGTCCCTGGGAAGGGCCCTTAATCCCCAGGACATTGTAAATACTATGCTGCAAAGCAAGGAAAACTGGGCCGAGGTAGCAGCTTATGCACGGCGCCTCTTGACAGCAAAAATCGCCGAGAGGGACCAATAAACTTAGGAGCTAACGTCACGTGACGCAACACGGACTGGGTTGAAGAAATGCTAACGCGGTTCCGACCCAGCCTTCCTCGTGATCATATGCGGGGGAATGAGGAGAGGAGGTTTTTTAGTGGGTGGAAATCCCACACTACCGTCCATCATCTTTTAAACACACGGTGTCTTTGAAAGATTTTTCCTTCTCTATAAAAAAAAAAAAAAAAAAAAAAAAATAGACATACACAAGTATATGTATATAGTGTATGTACAAAAACATACATATAGTAGGCACATATAAGCATGTGCATACATAAACACATATATTCATGTATATATACACACAAAATTATAATAAAATTAATCGTTTCTAATTAGATTTTATTTTATTATTAGATTAGATACGAATCATGAATGATATTATTATCTGATCTTTTATTAACACAATTTGACGAATTCGAAAAGATTAAACTGCTCTCAGAAAACAGTCTTAAAAGTACAATCCTCTCTATATAAAATATTGGGTTCAAAAGTAAAAATATGTGAATTTTCAACGGAATGTTGGACAAGAGTGCTTTGGAAACTTCGGCTTTTATGATGAATGACGCCTAATTCATGTTGTCTAATTCCCTTATGGATGTATTGTGATGTTTGGCCAATGTATTGTTTTTCAAATTGAAATTGATTGAAATTTTTGCAAAATTGTGAGTTTGAATTGGAATATATTAATAAATGTGACATTATTATTTTATAATGTCTATTTATTTCAATAAAATATAGTCTTTGTGGTACAACAAAGCGTAGATTATTATTATTAATATTAAACATTCTTCAAATAAGCATATGGTTAACACCCCACGACGTCGTGTTCTCATGATATCGCACCCGTCGGGGTGGTTTCATAGTATCACACCCGACCGGTGTGTTAGTCAAAACACGCCAAAAAGTTGATCAAAAGTGACTACATACAAATATCTCCCCTTTTCGTGTTATAGTACGAGACATACGCTTTCAATGTAGATAATATTAGAATATAATATACAACAAAAATGTAACTATATAATCCAGTTTAATAAAAACACGATAGGTGTTTAAACATAGGTTTAAAAAATAATGTATAAAGGTTTAAACCTAAAGGTAGTAGTAGTTTGGCCGAAAACAGGTCCATCGTATGAGAGCACCACAAATCAATGATTCCCTTTCCCTCCTCCGTTTATTATTTTTATTACAGTTTTATTAACACTAATCATTTTTTATTCACTCTTATAAATTTTCCTTTCAAAACTTCTGCTTCTATGCTGTCAGGTCTTGTGCTTCTATTCAATATATTTTAATGCATTTGAAAAAGCATGGGGATAAAATCTGTGCCATACAAAATAGCATCCAAAATCAATTATCCGATTATCAATTTCCATCTTAATTTTGTCATCCGTTACAATAATAGCTCGAGATATAATAATATGTGTAGTGTAAACCAGGGGTCGGCAAGCTTTAAACTGTAGTGTGCCAAGCCACTCTACCAATATGATTTAGAGTGCCGCCTTAATTTTGAAATATATAGTTAGGTTCTAGGGGAGAAAAATTATAACCAAATTTATCTTTTAAACATATTTATTAACAAATAACATGAATTTCTAATATAAATAGTGCTGGATTACCCCATAGGCCCGTGAAGCCCGGGCCTAGGGCGGCATAATTTAGGGGGCGGCAAATTTTTCAAAATGTAAAATTTTTAAACCCGATGTAGGATAAAATTGAATCTAAAACTAAAATATCTGACAATTTGGTATGCTTCCTCCAATTGGCTTTTTTTTCAACTTCAGGAAGGCTAAGTTATAATAATCCTAAAAAATCGTAAATAAAATTGTTTATATATCTCTACGCTTCAAGTTCTCCTGAACTTTTTGACATGCCTTAGAAAAAATAGATGTATGCATGTGTTTATGCGGTTACAATTTTTTGCCAATTGGCTTTGGGGAAGACATGCTGATTAGTTTTTTGAAAAGACGGTTCCATCCATTTCGGAATGGGGAGCAAAGAGTTAAAAAAAAGGCTAATTCAATTTTTCAAAAACGGAGCGTCCGATTTGAATAATTCAAGACACTTTTTACTTGTATGACGAAATAAGAACTATCGAAAATTTTGCGAGAGCATGGTCAGCGTTTTTGGTGATCCAAAAAGATGTCATTCGGTGATAAAAAATAATCATTGACATCAAATTATTAGATTTTTTATAAAAAAAATATTAATTATTACAAATTTTGTCTTCATTATTTTGAATCATTCCGTACCAAGATTTTTAATTTTCAAAATTTACTTCTTAGATAGTTTAAATGTCCTTTGCAAGGATCAATCGCCATGAATGATTCAAATAATATTCGCTTGGCTTTGACTGAGAGGCGTACTGTTTATACCAAATGCAGGTTTAGCATTTTTACAGATACAGAGCGCAGAAGGTGCAAAAGTGGTCATGAAGGTTTTGAGAGTACAGATCATCCGATTGGAATGACTCAAAAAATATTTTGTTCGTGGTATTTTAAAAAATAAAGTGTGATATTGTTTTTTTTTACCGCAGATAATATATTATTTTTTTCTGAATTTCTTATATTGATTAAAAAACTGCAATTTCCAATACGTGTAGCTTATGCTAAGACCATACATGAATCACAAAGACAGGACCATAAAATAGAATATTAAAAAGTATAGAATAGGATATTAAAAAATTTGGAACTTTTGAATTATAGACGTGGGTACAGGACAACGTCTGTCGGGTCATCTAGTATATATATAAAGATGTACCTGGGCTCCGTTTACTACTGCCTGAAAACCAGATCCACACAGTCTATTTACTCCTAATGCGGGAACATTTATTGGAATTCCACATTTTAGAGAAACGTGTCGTGGCATAAATGCCCCATCTGAAGAAGATGACTAAAACAAAAAGATATTTTTTTTTAAACTAGCTTCTTCGTGCAATAAATATAGTAATATCGTACATACCGCCATAACATTTCCAATGACTACTGAGTCTACTTGATCAGGTTTAATACCTGCTTCTTGTAAAGCGGCTTTAGAAGCAACAACTTGAAGATCACAAAAGCTATGATTTTTTAGAGTGCCACCATATGTGCCAAAAGCTGTTCTTTTTGCTCCAACAATAAATATTCCTGAAAATATATAAAATGAAAGTGTTTTGTACAGTGACGAAGTTAGACCATGCGTGGCTGTCAGCAAAATTAGATTGCAAGGCCCCTCTTTTTCCCAGTTAAAGGAAAGTTAAATTGAATAAGCCGAATTCTAGTTAAGCTAATGTACGCAAAAATGATATTTATTTCTAATTTGATAATTACACAATTCTTCTTTTGCGAAACTAGATTCTCCAAGCATGATAACATGAATTAGAAAAACACTGAAATTAAATATCCCGAGGAAGAACTTATTTTAAAAGAAGTTTTTATGGTAGAATCTTTCATTGACTAGATGATTTATAAACCTTTCAAGGTTGATAAATGAAAATAACTTTTATAATTGAACCACTTGTCGTAGTCACGGTTATAGTAGACTAAAATTTCTGTCTCTATACAAAGTTTTATTTAAAAAAACCTTGTTCACATTTAATTACAAAAAAGTGGCCAGACAAAATCTAATCAGCACAATTCTCAAATGAAACCTTTCGAACAGTTTTTAAATTTCAAAATTGGTTTAGAATTTTTGTCGAAAACGTGCGCATTTTTTACACATGCTGCTAATTTAAATAAAGGGCTCAGCTAACCGCCAGAAGATTGAATCAAATTTCATCAAATTGAGAGAAGGCCGATGAAAGGTCAAACTTTGTCTCACATACATTATTTTTCCAATTTTGGTCTCGAACGTTTTAGAATGACTTAAAAGGAGTGAACATTTGGCGAAAATAAACTTCTCCGGGAAGTTAAAAAGTATGTGTGTGTACATGAAAATAGCATAGACAAATATGCAATTAATTCTTATAAATATGAGATAAGCTCCTCAGAAGTATGAGATAAGCTCGAATAGAATATTCTTATATTTTCCGTTTCGAGAATACATGACAAAAAGTGCATTCAGTTTGAGAGGGAATGGAGCGTAGAATTTGGCTTGTAATAAAAAAGTGACTAAATCTTTGGAAAAGCAGGTTCAGCGGTTCTCGAAAAAGCAAGTTGAAATAAATGCCATTAAAAAAAGATTGTTTAAAAAATCATTGGTGATAATAAAGGTGTAAAAAGAACATTGGAGATATAGGCATTAAATTGCCAGACATTATATAGAGAATTTATGAGTCTATTTTTTTTAATTTTTGGGTTCCGTGCAAAGATTTTTAGTTTTTAAAGTTTACTCATATAGCACAAACACTTGTCGACATTTTGGTCAATACAGATCATAGTCTATGATTCATAGATAAGGAAAAACAGTGTGGTAATAGATAAGAAAAGATAGTATGGAGCGATGGGAATGATTCGAAAAACATTAGTTATGAAAAACAAGTAAAACGAGTGGATACAGTAGATAAACAACGATAACAAGTGGTACAGACAGACTCAAAGGTTACATTTTGATACAAAGCGAAAATGATGTAAAAGATGGTTATGTATTTGTAGAGAAGGCGGATTATTCGATTAGATTAGAATGATCCGCGTGAAGAAATGCAAGAATTTTCAAAAAAATATAAACAATTTGAATAATTTTAAAAAATATCGACTTGATTTTAAAAATAGTTTTTTATCAAAAATTTTAGAATATTTCGAAAATAAAAAAAACAAAATAACTTTTTTTAAAAAACAGAATTAAATCCTTGTCTATACTCATAAAATGTTTGTAGAATATGCTCGTCGCCCAATTTATTAAGCACTAATGAATTTACAGTATTTATAATCTATTTTAAAATATTTGAAACAATTCTTATTAGTTACTAAATAATTTTTATTGAATATTAATTACTCTTATTTCTTGAATGTTTAATTAGGGTGCAGAAAGATTCAGCAATTTACCTTAAGGCGCAATACCATAAAAATTTTAATTTGATAAAACAAAGGTAATACACGCACCAACAAAATAAAAAAAACAAATTGCAGGTAGCATACTTAAGACAATTTGCATGAAGTTCCCGATATGTGTAAATAACTGACCTACTTAGAAATTCAGATTAGAATTTCTATAGTAATAATATTCCAAATATAATATCTGTATTTGTAAAAATTAAACTAATTAAATCATATAATATCTGTAATTGTATAAATTAAATCAATTCATTTAACATATTTCATTTTACTTCGAATTCTAATATTTGAGAATTGCAGGAATTTTAATAATCTACATATATAAAAAAATAAGTCGGGTTTTCCTTCCTGACGATATAACTCCAGAACGCACGAACCGATTTCGACAATTTTTCGTTGGAAAGGTCTCGGGCTCCGCAAGGTTTATAGCTAAGAAAATCAGTGGTGCATGGCATCGTGCCTTAATGCAAATTGCTGGAACTTCGCGCACCGCAATTAAAAGTTTGAGTAATGAAAATAACAATTGTTTTAATTAATTTCAAATGGATTATCTACATATATATAAAAATAAGTCGGGTTTTCCTTCCTGATGATATAACTCCAGAACGCACGAACCGATTTCGATAATTTTGCATTCGTTGGAAAAGTCTCGGGCTCCGCAAGGTTTATGACTAAGAAAATTAGTGGTGCATGGCATCGTGACGTAATGCAAATTGCTGGAACTTCACGCACCGTAATTAAAAATTCGAGTTTGGTTAAGTCAACGAGCAATTCTTGCCACAAAGAATAATGATGTACACGCACTGAATTTCACCATTCAATCAAAAATTGCTGGCAATTTGGTGACATACCAATGATTCTGACTGGTCTTCCGTTTGACGTCAAACCATTGCAATTTCCAGTTCGCCTTGCGTTCGCAATAACAAGTCGCAAGGCCAATCGCTTAGTGTTTGCGGGATAAATTTCAAATAGATTATTTAGAAAATCATTGTTTTTCACATGGGCAGTTATATCCGTTACCTGTTCACGAGTTGGAAAACCATCTGCTTTGTTTGTGTTAACGCCAGACCAAAAAACAGAAAATGTAGTTTACCAACGAGCACTTCAATAAAACGGATAATTTGCGAATTCACTTTCATTTACTTAGAGAAGTTCAACAAAAAAAACACTTCATTTTTGTAATCGAAATAAATTCATTAGTTTTGTGTAATAAAATCAAATTTTTCCTTTTCAAATATAAAACAAACAAAAAAATTCTTCATCTTTCTCACGAAACCATCTGGTGGCGAAACGGAGTTCGTCGGGTTTGCTAGTAAATAAATATTTATAAATAGATACATAAATAATGATTCATGACGACCGTGACATAGATATTGAAAGTGATGATGCTGATGACTCGATTACCAGGACGCACTGCTGGAACTACGAGTATTCGCAAGCAGAAAAGAGGGCTCATCATAATGCTTTTGGAGAGAAAGCGCAGGAGTCACATAAAAGACAGCTTCACTCCACTAAGAAACTCTGTCCCAGCTTTACAAAGAGAAAAAGCTAGTTCTAAAATCTCACATGATGCCGATATTAAAGTATGGAATTACTGTCTGGAGCCACACCACTAATAAGAACATAAGGACGATGCAAAGTATAATAAACAAAGCCATCAAGGCAACATACAATTACCCTCAACTCGCTCCAACAGTTGAACTTTTAAGCAGAACAAATAACCTACAACTACTGAAAACAATAGAAATTGAAAAATTCATTTAATATTTAAAATAAACTAGTGGGGTGGGTGGCAGCGTGCCTTAAGGCAAATTGCTGGAACTTCCCGTACCGTAACGAAATGTTCAAGGAATACTGAATGTTTTCGAATAGATTATTATAAATATTGTAACATTGTCTAATATTTATAAGAATTATATAAACTGTATTGCAAAGTTGAAATTATTTGTTTTAAGTATATTAGAACTATAGTCAGAATTAAAAATAAAATCTGAATTATTTTCGATATACAAAAAATTAAAAAAAAAAAAAAAATTGAAACAATTTTTTTTTCCAAAATCAATTATTTTATTAAGAAAAGCAGAAAGTTCTTTGATTCATTCAAATTGGACGCTTAGTTCTCTCAAACACTGCCATTTTTTACATATTTAGCTCCGTATCTTCGAAATGGCTGGGCCTGCCTTTGCCAAAAACTAATAAACACTTCTCCCAATCATTACTAATTGAATGTTTTTTAGATCATTCAAATCGGATACTCCGTTCTCTCAAAAAGTCGATTTCTATTTTCTGCACTCTTTGCTCCGTATCCCCGAAACGGCTGGACCTGCCTTTGCCAAAAACTAATCAGCTCTTTTCCCTATCGATAGGAATCGAATGTTTTTTGAACCATTCAAATCGGTTGATCAGTGCGCCCGAAAACGTGACTGGAAATTTGTATCCATACATACATACACACACACAAACACACATCCATTTTTTCTGAGGTATGCCAAAATGTTCAGAAACCTTCAAAACGTCGAGAGATGTAAAAATTTTCAATTCCGATTTTCGGCCCATTACAATAACTTACCCTACGGGAAGTTAAAAATAACTAGTTGGTATTGGTATTTTGCCTTGAGGCAAGTTACATGTACTTCCCGAAATGTGTAAATAATCGACATCAATTAATAAAAAATACATCAATTTATGAGTGATTATAAGTATTCCGAGTAGATTTATTACACATAATTGAAAACAAACGGACGAGCACGTTAACTCGAAATATTTTCTAAAAGCAAATTTTCAAAAAACAATAATTTTTATAATTGAACCAGTTTCCGTAGGACTTTAATGGTTTACTATGTTTAAGACCAAGTACTCTATCGTTAAACCAACTAAATCATCTAATTTTAATTTTAACAAACGTCAAAAAAACTACTCACTTTCTCAAACTTTGATGAATTTTTAAAATTAAACTACTAAACGTAAGGCCGTAATACTTCAATAAGCTCTATAAGACCATAATATATATCGCCAAAAAAAGTTCCATTAAAATCGGCTTAAATTTTTTTTCAACAGTTTTTCAAAATCGATTCGGTAGTTTGAGTTTAAATGTTTAACACTTTTTTCCAAATGACGAAAAAACGGCTTGGCAGATCATCGCACAAAACAAACAA